GGGGGGGGGGGGGGGTTGTGGTTGCAGTAGTGCTGAAATGTTCAAGGGGTAATTCATATAGCATTATAAAAAAGGTGGATTCAAAACTCTCACAAGATCACTGTTGATGATACAAGTAATACCTGTATTCCTTCTGAAAGCTCAATTTCTTCATTTGCAGTAAGAAGCCTAGAAGTGTGGGTAGTTGCTCTCAGGTAACGCAATGGATCGGAATGGTCTACATCTTGTAAAGAGGCACGCTTTTTTCTGCTGGTTGAACCAGACTTCACCGACACAACACTTGCAGCAGCCTTCTCTGCTGCTTTGGCTCTTCTGGCCTTCCTTTCTATTTGACGACTCGATCTTGCAGTTATACCCTCGGAAAGTTGCTCCCGCAGAAGTTCAAATTCTTGATTTGTTGACTCCACATCTTCTGACTCTTTTATGGCCAGCTGAATGAAATGATTTTCCACCAGTGCAGTTTCAGATCCCATGGAAGCTCCTAATCTAGAAGCTTGTTTGGTTTCCATATGCTTAGCCCAATTGAAATGCAAAGCATTAGTCTCGGGAGAAACTGGAGATGAACTTTCAGCTTTAGCAGAGTGATTAGTGCTAACCAGCAATGCCACATCCTTTGCAACCTTGAGAGCCGCTTTTGCAAGAGTAACAGCTTCAGCGGCAGCAGCTGCTATTACAGCCTCTTCACTTGTAAGAAGATTTTCTGTAGCTAAAGTTGCTCCAAAGTTTGCCTGGTGATAAACATCAAAGCTATTAGAGTTTTATGCTCAACATCTTTCATACATAGGAAAAAATCAAACTGAGAAAGAAAATACCTGGAACCCTAAACCCGATAAATACACCATGGGGTCAAATTTGTAATTGGATTATGCAATGAACTAGTGAAGGTGGCTAGGTCACAGCCAGCTAAAAGATGTTCAAAAAATTATCTGGGAACCTAACCACCATGCATGTGAAATTTTTAGAACAGTATTTATTTTCAATTTGACAAACAGAAACCTAATATGTGCAAGTTTTCTGTTATCCAGGAATCATGCAAATACAGCAGGCATCCAACTAAATACAGTGGAGCAATAATATCAAACATGCTCAATCCAATTCGTAAAAAATACAAAGTATCCCAAATGTCTGCATGTCTGCATTCAAGCATAGTCACCAAAAACAAGAATAAGTAATAGATAAATTCTGCAAGCTTTATCCCCGAGGAAAGAAATTATAATTAAAGATACTATATGAAACACTGAAAAGTAACTAGATATTCAATAGACCTATTCTAACCTCAGTGGGAGGACCAGTTGCCCCTGTATATGTCCATGGTCTATTTGCAGCCAAAGAATCGGAATTAACTTCTAAAGAAGGTAATCTCAGCTTCTCCACATCAAGAACTGTAGTTGTTCCTGTTGATGTTGAACGCGACGTAGTGGATAAAATAGATTGAGCCCGGAAACAGAGAGGATCTCTACTTTTTGCTGCATATATCAATCAAGAAATCATGAGAGAAATAGAGCAAATAAGATCCATGACATTGTATTGCTTTTAAAATACCATAAGAAATGTACATGTCTTCTGTTCTACAATCAATAAGCCTGGCCTTACATGACTACAACTTTGGTATAGAACATTCTCACAAATGTGCAATGCAAGTATAAATATTCAAGTCAGTTCTTCACAAAGGAAATTATGTATACGTCATGCTTCAAAAATATGATGGAAAAACAAATAAAACCAGTTCAGTTTCCAAGTTTTAAGCGGTTTTAGACATAATTACATAAGATTTCAATTGCAAAAAAGAAATTTTCACAACTGAGACCAACCAAATGGGCACAACCCATTTAGCTAGGATACAACATTAACATAACATTTAGCTGGGATATAATATATTTGACTTGAAGCAAGAGATTGAAACCTTGGAAGCCCTTGGCAATGGAGGTGCCCTCCTTAAATAACTCATCAAAGAAAAGTCTATGGGTCCTAACTCTGAAACCCAGGACTGTGAGCTTGGTGGCCATGACTCCAATGGCCCTCTTCTTCTTGTGCCTGTGGTTTGTTGGGTAGGAAAGTGGCAGTGGGGAGAGAAATGAGGGACATATTAAAGAGGAAGATACATTAGGAGGAATGTGTTTGTGGGAATTACAAAACCCAACTGCTGATGATGAAGAAGAAGATGAAATTGATAAGATTGTCATCTCTTTCTGCTGTTCTACATCTAAAGCTTCAAGGACATAGCATGCTTCAGCCTTCAGCTCTGAGTCAAAGGAGAAAAGACATAGCAGTAGTTGCAGCAGCGGAACAGAGCAAGTAGAAGAAAGGGAGGAAATGAAGAAGATGGATGCGAGAGGGAGAGAAAGAGTGCTTCAAACTGAGCCGTTTTCTTATCCTCTAGGATTTGGAGTTTTGGACCACCCAAAACTACAACTCAAAATAAGTGTTAAGGACGGGGAAGGACCAGGCCCGTTTCTTCTATCTAGCATTTCTTTCCGGTATTTGTAAATGAACTTTTTTCACTTCGGAAAAAAATAAAATCCTATTTAACATTATTTTCTTAGAAAAAAATTGCTCATTTATAAATCAGATTTTGTTACTACTACCCTCGTGTGCTAATTGGCCTTTTCTTAAAACAAAAATCTTATCTTTTAAATATACTAGCCTCTCTGCACGCGCTTAAGTGCCTGCGGCTTTTTTTAAAAAAATTTAAATTTATTTTAGAATTAAAAAAGATAATGGGTAGTTGTGTTCCATAAAAATAGGATCGATCAATCTTATTTTTATTTTTATTTTTATTTTTTTAAATATGAAAAAGTGTGAATTTACCATATTATCCTCATGTAATTAATAATTTCAATTCTTAATGTTTGCATTAACCAAGGGCATTTTCTGGTATTTTGAATGTTTCACCATTCTCTACATTTTGTAGTGGAGAGCAGGGATGGAGCCAGGATTCAAACTTTGGAGGGGCCAAATAACATGTACCAAACATCTAGAGCAAGAATTTCGTCCAAAAAAAAAAATCTAGAGCAAGAAGAAAAAAAATATAGATTGCGGAAAAAAAAAAAGTATATTAAACTTATTTTGAAACAGGTTAAGCTCTATAGCCATTTTAATTATTTTTTTATCAAGTCTTTTTAACCTATTTGGTTAGTTATGATAAGAATTAAGATTTTCCAACTAAATCTATCCAAGTATAGCTATTTATTTTTAATTTTTATACTAAAGAAATCAGTATCTACTAAAATCCAAAAGAGAAAGATATAAAAATCAGCAAAGAAAAGCCAATATAACTTCACATTATTACTCAAAATGAATTTATTAGGGTGGCCATTAACTTAAACATGCAAAATCCTTTTAATATTTTACAATACATTGCCTTGATTATGAAAACTTAGAAAACATTGGAGGTGCCAGGGCCACCTCTGGCCTAAAGGTGGCTCCGCCCCTGGTGGAGAGAGAGGTATGTGGGTGGAGTAGGGTTCATCTTTGTGCCAACCCGGCCCTAAAACTTCAGACTTAGGGCCAGTTTAGTATTGTTGTGCTGTGAAAATACTCATTGTCATATTTGTTGTGAGAGACATCAGTTGTGGAAGAAATCAATTTGGCGTTTGGTTAACTTTTTTGTCAAAAGTGTTGTTGGTACAATAATTAGTTTTGAGTGTTTGGTAAATTTTTATGTCAAAGTGCTGTGAAGTATGTATAATGACTAAAAAGGGCATTATATTGAAATGGTTTTTCTATTCAAGTGTTTGGTAAAAAGAAAAAGAATTTCACTTTCACTTATATATTTCTTTGTTAAATATGTTTGGTACATGTAGATATCCCTTTGCTTTGACAAGAAAAATTAACCTAATATGTTTATTACCTGATTCTTGTGGCATCTAGAGAGTGCTTCAACAATCCAACAAGAAAAATTGAATGAAGAGAAGGAGAAGAATAGCTCTGGCATTAGGAATGTGGAAGAGAAGACATGAAGATGAACGATGGGAAGTAGAAGAACGAGGAGAAAGAGACGAGAGCGTGAAAACATATGGGGTTACTTTTGGAATTTTGAAATTTTCATTAAACTCTAGCGCCACTCAAAACTAATTGCCGCATAATCAAAAAATGAAAGCACCTTTGTACCAGCTTTCCTTAATTGATTTCTCTCACAGCAATTATTCACAATAAGTGATTTTTTTATCTCTTACCAAACAAGCTGAGCTTTCAAATTTTTTAAAATAATCACTTATGGCCCCAAATAAGCAAATGCCAAACGAGCACTTAGACTAGGTTTAGGCTTGGATTTTAGGGTTAAAGCATTTTTGGGCTAGGCTGGGCTATGTTAGGGTTTCATTACCTTGGTCCAAGTTCGCCTACATTGGTCGGGTCATTTGGGCTTGATTAAGTCGAGTTGGGGTAAGCTCTCCCAATTAAATTTTTTTTTTATTATTAAGAAAATTTGAGAACAACCAATTTTTTATATTGTAAAATCAACATAATCTCTTTACAAAAATTGGTTATTTTACTTGGACTTGTGAATGAATTAAATTCGAACATTTCAAATGGATTGAGTTCATTTGATATGTTCGAATTAAGCTTGTGAATGAATTAAGCTTGTGGGTTTATCACGAATATAGGGTTTGGAGGGTCCATTGACCTGGCTGCTTTACTGGATTTCATGGATAGCGGTCATGATTTGATCATTGCAGCTGATACCAATGCATCTGATTTGATCCGACAAATCGCAGTCGAGTGTGGAGTTGATTTTGATGAGGTTGGTTTAAGCATTTAAGTATTTTCACTGGTTACTTTATCAATTATCTGTTTTCAGTTTCCTTTTTAATATTCAGAATTTCCTTGAAGTTGATGTCTGTCCAGTATGCATACATTGCTTCTTTAAATCTTCTATTACCAAGGAAACAAATGACTTTTCTTTGAAGAAAGTTTGGGAATAACAGAAACAACATTAATTACTAAGGTGCATATCCATATAAATATATTACTCATGTCTCTATGATGAGGACATCTTCGTCAAACCCATTAGGGTTTACAAAAGAAAGAGATGCAAGAGGAAGTCATTTAATTTCGTCTTTAAATCTAGCAATTTTTTATTCCTGTGATTAGTTTCTAACTTTTTCTCTAAGTTTTCCAGATTTTGGTGAGATTTTTAAGTTTTCCAGATGTCAGTAGGATTTCTAAGTTTCCAATTTTATTTAGGTTAGAATTTCTGTTTTAGCAAGGGATTTTTTATTCTAATGTCTCTAGGTTTTAGTTTGCTATAAATAGCCCTCTCATGTAATTCATTATGGAGTTGAGTTGTTGAGATATAAAGAAAAGTTTATTTTCCAGAGATTGGAGACTTCTTAGTGTAAAGCCAAACACCCCTGGAGTGATTCTAGACCTATCCTTGTTCGTTCTATTTTCTGTTTTCCATTGTTTTCGCTTCCGCTAAACTACCTAAATTCTCAATTCACCCGTATCCTACATCACTCTGTTACAACAAAGCCAATTCTAATGCAAATTTAAATCAAAAGGGTTTGCAAATTTGCTTGGACTTGTGAATGAATTAAGCTTATGGTTGTTGATTTCTTCTCTCCTGGTTGTGGTGGCTGCAAAGCTCTTCATCCAAAGCTAGCTACTCACTCTTTTACATCTGTTTTTTCGGTTGTCTCAACCTTTGCTGTGGATTACTTTTCCATGTCTTCCTGCTTTCTTGTTTGTGAACAGAAGTTTAGGGGGAGGGGTGGCTACCCCATCCCAGGGCTAGGGCATACCAAGACCTCTTTGAGGACTTACAGAGGGGGGACTTAGCCCCTTTTTTGGTTTTTATATATTACCCACCAAGAGGGATTGTTGGCAGTAGGACTCGAACCTAGGCCTTGATAGCGAAGAAAACGATCCTTACCAACTCAACCAACCCTCGTTGGCGAATAATAATGATATTTCACACATCATTCAAACTAAAAAAATGTTACGGGTGCCCTTTTTGAGTTTATTTTTTCTTCAATTTATAGGTTTCAGTATTTATATATAAATTTAATGCAAGAAATGGAATTTATTACAAATTTCTCTTTTATTTTCTATTGCAGTGAAATGTGTGAGTGTTGGGCCATGTGTAGTTTTCATGCCAAGAATCGATTTGTGGGCTGTGGAGACACCTCTTCAAGTGACAGTCGAGAGTGATTCTGATTCATCAGACCATCAACTTCGTGAAAATGAAAAGTCGTATTTTGTATACATGGTCAAGTTGGTGAAAAGGGCAGTGGGTCCGCTTCACAACAATGCAAATCAGAAGACATGGATGATGGGAGAGTGCACGAGTGTTGCTCGAAGCGCTTCACATGCCTGGAACTTATTTGTTGAGCAGGTGGAGTCTCTACATCCTTGATGTTTCTGGCCAATTGAAAGGTCTTGCTTAAAAGGTGAACATTGAATTTCATCTTTCATTGGAAATGAAATAACTTTTATGTCAAGAAGACTTGATAGATAGAGTGGGAGATTTCTTTCTATACAACGGAAGCTAGCTACTGTGATTTTTGGCTAATTTAAGTTTACCGTGCGAACTAAGCTGCAGTTGCCTAATCAGGCCTTCAAGAGCTGCTCTTTCATGATGTTACAGGTGTTTCCAGTTCTAGGGTTTGCCTAGTTTAAATTTGCATTGTGCGTATGCGGGTGTTTCCAGTTCAAGGCTTTTCCTTTTCTCTTCTTCTGGGCTATTGACCTTGTACAACCAAAATAAATAATTAATAGACAAGTTTATGTAGCTGTAAGTTTGATTTGGTGCTTGTTGCTCAAAACTGACATTAGGATGAAGTGTTCTGTCTGACAAATCAGTCAGATGGGAAAACGTCGGCTAGTTTTTTCTGGCAACATCTGAGTACAAATCTGTATAAGAACCACATTCTTTTATGGTGAATACAGCTGCACCAAAATGGGTTCAACTGCATCCTCAACTTGTGATACTCGCAAGTGCACGAACCGTTGATAGTTTAGCGTATGTAAGTGCGAGGTCGATTCCACAGGGATTGGTGATTGAATGATCCAATTCAGTTTTCCTACACAAAACATAAATAAAAACAAAAGAAACAAAACAAGAAGAAAGAATGTACATTACAAGAAAAATAAATTACAACTACGAAAACATTAAGGAAATTAAGAGAACTTTGAGGAAGAGAAGAAAGTGTTGAGAACTTTGAGAGGGAGAAGAAAGTATTGAGAACTTGGAGGATTTTGGAAGAACATGTGTTTGAGAGCTTTGAGGATTTTGGAAAGGTTGAGACATGTGTTTGAGAGATTTGGAGACTTTTGGAAGAGAGGAGAGATGTGTTTGAGAAAGAGAAGGGAGGAGTGTTTGGGAACATTGAGAATTTGATGAAGGAATGGGAGAAGTGTTTGAAGAACATGGAGACTTGAAGAAGAGAATATTGGAAGAGTAAGG